AAATGCATTGCAGGTGGTGATCGACCATACCTAGTGAGCGGAGCAGATGACAAAACTGCCCGGGTCTGGGATTACCAAACCAAGGGATGTGTTCAGACACTGGAAGGCCACTTGCACAATGTGTCGGCTGTGTGCTTTCACCCAGAATTTCCGGTCATTATCACTGGTTCTGAAGATGGCACTGTGAAAATTTGGCATTCCACCACATTTCGTCTGGAGGACACATTGAACGAAGGAAAAGAGAGGGTGTGGTCGATTGGGCACCTCAAGGGGTCAAACAGGTTAGGTGCAAGTGGCACTGAATGTTTTCTGTAGTGCATTGCATATGACTGTCGCAAAGCAGCGTTTTTTATGTCTGCATTGGCAGGATTGTGGGGGCCAGTAATGGACTCCTGTTGATCCTAAGCTGTGCACTATTGTGTTGTTTATGACGTGTCTGTTGTTTGTGGTCTCTGCCAGCTTGTTTCATGGGGCTTGTCCTCTTGACGAATTCGGTCTTTTGATGCTGCAGCATTGCTGTTGGCTACGATGAGGGCGTGCTGCTGTTGAAACTTGGGCGAGATGAGCCCCTTGTTTCCATGGATTCAAGTGGGAAAATCATATGGGCAAGACACAATGAGATTCAGACTACCAACTTGAAATCTCTGCCCTCTGATGCTGCCAGTGCTGATGGAGAAAGACTCCCTCTCCCAGTGAAGGATTTGGGCTCCTCTGATTTGTACCCCCAGTCTCTCAGCCACAATCCCAATGGCCGGTTTGTTGCAGTTTGTGGCGATGGCGAGTACATTGTGTACACCGCATTGGCATGGAGGAACAAGAGTTTTGGGAGTGCTGATGAGTTTGTGTGGGGCAATGAGGCCAGTGAGTTCGCAACCAGGGAAGGAAGGTGTGCTGCTTTCACGTGTGCTAGAGCACTAATCCTTGCCTTGTCTGCACGGTCTAGGCAGCCATTGCTGTATTGTTTTCCTCAATTTCTGTACTTGCAACAGCTAATTGGTATTTGCTACAACTTGGAGTTTGATGATCTGTCTGTTGACCCAGCCTTGAACCATGTGGTGTGAGGTTTGTGTCTGAATCCCTGTGCTCATTACACTTTCACAGACACCCATTGAATTGGCAAAGCTATGGAAAACAAGGGCTTCCATGAAAACTACAAGGCTCTGTGCACCAGTTCCCGCCCAACGTCGACTAAAGGAATGCACCCAAGTACTTTTACCAAAGTACTGCTACTTTGCTATGAATTGGCAGCCACAGTCTGCTCAACCTCTGGTTGCAGCTGTATGTGGTGAATTTGCCCTCTGTAGGAAGCAGCCATATGTGACCCTTGATGCCCATTATGGTCGAATTGAGCAATAACCATGCTTCTGGTGTGCGTATTTGCTTTGCATTTAGATGTTCAAGTCAAAAGGAGTTGGGTGGCAGGTCATATAGGTGTTTGGGTGTTGATTTCAATTTGTTTAAAGACATGAGGCTGGTGTGTTGTTGTTCAACATCGTGCAGGTCGAAAGTCAAGGTTTCTCGGAACTTCCAGGAAAAGCACACATTGAAGCCACAATTCGTTGTCGAGGGCTTGTTTGGTGGAACACTACTCGGGCTGCGTGGAAGCGATTTTGTTGCCTTCTATGACTGGGCAGAAGGCACCATTGTCAGGCGGATCGATGTTCCTGTGAAGAAGGTGTTCTGGTCTGATTCTGGTGACTACCTGGCAATAACTGCTGATGATGCATTCTACATCCTGGAGTTCAGAAGGGAGCTGGTGGATGCTGTGTTGAACAGTGGCCAGGATGTGGATGAGGATGGTATTGAGGATGCCTTTGAAGTGGTCAGTGAAGTTTCAGAGCAGGTATGCCAAGGTCGTCTTTGCTATATGCTAGCTGTCAAGGTGGTGGTGTCCTGGCCATCATCATGGTCTTCATTTTGCCTCTGTCACATCACTTGACAGTGAGCATGAGTGAGGACAGCTTTTGAGATGCGCCTGTTCTTCACTTTGTGTTCCAGAACTGCTTATGCAAAGGCTGTGACATATTGAAGCACATAATGGTTCTGTTATATTTAAACCTATCATTCTGCTGTTTCTGTTGCTTCAGAATGTGCCAAGACTGCCGTTTGAGTGCAGTATATCAAAGAATCTTCGCACTCGTAGCTGGGAAGGTTGTGCAGTACAGGTGGTGTGCCTTGTCCTCGCTGATGGTGGTGGCAGCTGCCCTGAAAGGCGATGTTTCACAACATAGAGGAATAGAGCCCACGTGTTCTAGCTTGAAGAGGCGACTGAATATTGAGAACTTGTAGATGACCAGTATTGTGGAAAGACGTTGCAAATAAGGCGATGGGCTATTGCTGATATTAGAATGTAATTAAAAAATTGCTTTGCAGGTGGTGACTGCTCTCTGGGTGGGTGACTGCTTTCTGTACAACAACTCTTCTTGGCGCCTCAACTACTTTGTTGGGGGCGAAGTCACCACACTTTACCATCTGGACAGGCCAATGTATCTGCTGGGCTTTTTGGCGTCGCAGAGCAGGGTCTACCTCATTGACAAGGACCTCAGTGTTGTCAGCTACACACTGTTGATGAATCTGATCGAATACAAGACATTGGTCATGCGAGGCGATATTGATGCAGCACAGGTACGTAGAAAATAAGTCTGTGCCTTTGTGTTTTGAACAGAAACAGGTTTTGTGCTCTTTTGCTGCCTGATTCATTCATTTGACGGCATTTTTGCCACGTCTTATGTGTAAATTGGCAATATACAGTTGATGCCTACCTCAGGGTTACTTGTGCTGCTGGGGCAAGGTTTCTTGGTTGATGCTGCCATAAGCCTTTGAACTTTCAAAAGTTACTGAAGACAGTCTGTTGGCTTTGAATAACAACTGACCCTGTTGTCAGACTGAGCATTGTCCCCTGGTCCCCATCTTCTCTTTTTTGTTTGTACCTGGCAGGAAATTCTTGAGACGCTCCCTGAAGACCAGCTGAACAATGTCGCAAAGTTCCTTGAGTCTCGTGATCTGGTGAAAGAAGCACTGGAAGTTGCCACGGACCCAGACTACAGATTTGACTTGGCAGTTCAGCTTGGTGACCTACCAGTGGCACACCAAATTGCTGATCAGGTCAACAGTGAGGTGAAATGGAAACAACTTGGTGAACTTGCCATGACATCTGGTGAGCCAATGGACACATGGGCATTTTGCATGAACTGCTCCAGCATCTGTTTCATAATGAACAATGGACTGCTTGTTGTCAGCAAGGAGTAATGATTGTGTGTTGTTCATTCATGTGCTCTGCGCGCGCAACAGTTTATAGAGAGAAAATGCCTGCAGTTGCATCAGCAGATGTGGATTTGCTTTCAATGGCTGAATGTCTGGATACCCCCTCACAGCATTCAGATAGTTTTCATGTTGTGGGATCGCAGTCTTGTTACTGGCTGTGTGGTGTCATACCAGGGTTGGTGTTTATTATCCAAGTATCTTATCGGTGCAACAGAATTTTGCATATATTGCTACACCTAGGGCACGCTGAGACTTGGTACTTGGTTTGCTGGTAGTAGATTCCAACACACAATCTTGCATTTATTCAAGTGCATGAATGTTGGGCCATCCAACTGTGAATTTTTACTTGTTACACCTCTACTGTGTGATGAATCCCGTCCAGAAAATGTCACCAGCAGAACATCTATGCCAGGACTGTGGTGCATCGCCATTTCAAGTCATGGGTGTCTCTATGTGAGCAGGAAAGTTGACACTTGCAGAAGATTGCCTAATGAGAGGCAAGGACCTCCCTGGGTTGCTGCTCTTGTTTACAGCAAGGGGATCAAAGTCTTCACTGAAGGAATTGATTCCCCTGGCAAAAGAGCAAGGGTGCAGCAACATTGCATTCATGGCACATTTTTTGCTGGGCAATCTGGATGCTTGCATACAGCTCCTGGTGGACACAGGGCGCATGCCAGAGGCTGCCTTCTTTGCGCGTACATATGCACCAAGCAAAATGTCTATGGTTGTCGAACAGTGGCGTGACGACCTCAAAAAAATCAACCCAAAGGTACTTGAGACTGCATATTTTGGGTCAGAAGGACAGGAGGGCTTTGCACCTGCATTCACATGTGGTAGTGCCTGGTGCTGCAAAGTGTTTATGGGGAGTCATGGATGTACGCACACCTCAGCATTATGTGGTCTGCCTGCACCCAGGGTAAAGCAAGCTTTTGACCATCAACACCTGCAGTGGTTTGGCTTGAATTTCACATGGAAACGCAATTGAACAGTGAGGATTCCAGTTATGTAAGTGGTTGGCAGCACTGCCACAACACTTGAGATCTTGTGCAGTTGCCCTAGAACCAACTAAAATTGAGCCTGTGCAAAGTAGTGTACCTGTAGCAAGTGTGTTTCAATGAGCAGCATTTGGTTCTGTGGATTGTTAGCATGCAGCTAGATAAGTCTATTACCACAATGTATGTTGCACATGAGGATATGGCAGGCTGAACAGCCATTGCAGAAGTTGAGAAATGCATTCATGAGTACCGTGGGCATGGCAGGCTTTCTGGAATGCACTGTGCTGATGTTGTATCTGTGCATTGGATTGTAGGCTGCTGATTCGTTGGCAGATCCTGCAAAGTATCCCAACCTTTTTCCTCACCTTGACATGGCATTGAAAGCTGAAGAAATTGCACAACAACGGCGACTGCATCCTGTGCCTGCTTCTGAATACCCGCAGCACGAGGGATCGAATACTGTCAACTTGATTGAGGAAATAGAGAGACTGGCCATTGGCGAGAGAACAGGGGCAGTGGAGAATGGTGACATTCCCCCACACGCCGGCGCAGGTGCATTTGGTGCCCATAAATGATGTGTCGCTGCTCTGCTGTGGGCCTATGTGTGCAGCTTTGGTTGTATGAACTGTATTAAATTTGGTGGTGTTTGTCGATTTCCTTGCATAGCATGAACGCCTGTTTTGCTTCTTATGTGTTGTAGAACCAATTCCTGCCAGTGGTGACGAGGCAGGCATCTCTGTCGCACGAGCAGCAGGCAGCTTGAGCACGCAGGAGGGCACTACACAGATTGGACAACGCCCACATGCAGCTGTCGATGATGGGAGTTTGGTAGAATCTGCTGCTGGTGCAGAACATGATTGGGGCCTAGAAGATGGGGGGCAGGAATAGGTAACTGGGCAAGGCTTGGGTTGTGAAAGTGAATTCTTTGTTCGGATTGTTGGGTGGAACCTAATGTTGAGTATGGTGGTTTCAATAAGCATGAGTGAGAGAATTGTGATGGAATTGTTTGTGTGACGGAGCGGACATGGGATATGCAAGGGTGGAACCACCCAGCCACAAATAGAGTCAACAGACTCAGGTGGACTTGTATTTGAGAAGTCGTTTGGGCGATGTAGACATAGGCAGTGCGAATCAAATGAAATTCGGCCAAAACAAAATAAGGGCCATAAAAGATATTGCCAACACTATCGCCAGTTACCACATACAGACTAAAGTTTGACAGCAACGCCCAACGCACATTCTCAACAAAGAAACATCGCTTCGTATGGGTTCCTTCTCGTTTAGCCACCAAGAAACTTGCCACTCTTGCTCTCCCTGGTCTATCTTGGCTCTGCAGGTGTTGTGTTTTAAGATCGCCATTGTTCATGCCGCTATTGGTCACGTTTATGGATCAAGAGAAATAGCCGCTGAGCTATTGCTCAGCATGGTCACAACAATTGGAGAAAGAAGAATGCTTGCCGGAAAGCATGCAAAATTCTTACAAAACAGTCCATCGTTTATGGCTGCTAGACGCCACAGAAATAGTGATTGGCTCTGCTGTAGTTAAGAACATCTTTATTGGTCGGTGCTGTACAGGAATGGTTCCCATTGGTTGCAGTTCCAGCTTACTAACGAGGCATTTGCCGAATAAATAGCACCGGTGCTATTGCTCTCCTGTGCATCCATAACGCTGTGTGCTTGTGAGATGCCGAATAGGATCACTGCACCACTGCAATGTTCTGCGCAAATTAGCACCCAGTGCTGTTCTGGGGTGCTCGTGGCCTTGAGCGGTGCTATTCGGGATCAGAATACTAGCGCTCGGTGCTGAATAGCATCGGGGGTGCTATGGGGGTGCTTGCTCCCCAACCGTTATTGATGGTTTTCTGACGTGCGGTGCTATTCGAATAGCTGAATAGCACCGCCGAGACAATAGCCCCCACCGATAAAGGTGCTCTAAGGAAAATAATGAAAAAAGCGAAGCAAAAGTTCCTTACTTCAAGGACATTTGGTTGCGAGAGATTGGGATTGAGACATGACCATACAAGGCAGGCCACAATAGGGCTGGACGGCCTAATCATAGCGCAAAATGAGCTTGGGTATACTGTATTTTCTCAGTATTAGTATGCGTGCAGTGGACCCCAAACATGAGCAGTGGATACTAATAGTGGGTCATGGATACTAATGCAGTTTAGACCCCTGATCCAAGGAGTGACGAAGAAAATTTTGGGAACATAGATCGTGACATGCCCCCCAAATGGGCTTGAAATAACGACACCATATTATGAGTGACAATGCTATTACTGAAAGTTGTCAGCCTCTTCACGGAAGCCAGCAGTCTGAACTTGGGGCTCCACCAGGTGGGGCCGACTTGTGATGGGGTATAGCAGGTGTTTCTTGGACTGCTCGAGGCGCGTTTGCCTCCACGATGCGAAGAACGAGGACCGACATGGCCCGCAAGATGCCACAAAGGCAGGGCTCGTCCACAATTCACACAGCTGCCAGACCACAAACCCATGGGTTTGTTGTGTGATTGGCCACTCACAGGTACCATCAGATATCCAAGCCAGCATCAGGCCATGCAATTGCTGCAACTTTGGCTGGTTGCCTTCCGTGAAGACACCTTGATGTTACATCACCCTGTTCAGTGATGTTGACACAGTCATTTTTCGCATCGACGAGAGGGTTGATGAACAGGGTGGGGGACGTTTTCCCCACATTCACAAAGCTCGATTCCACTGTTCCATCGTGTTAGAGCGCTGCCAGGGAAGGCGAAGGGGTAGGCAGGTCCGGCTCAGAGCATGCATCCAAATGACGTTGAGCATACCAAATTCGACGGTACCCACTCCTGGTGCGTCCGTCGGGGTGCTAATAAAGGAAATAATATTACTGCGTGCACCAAATCAGTGACTGCTTGCACCAAATCACGTGAACACTATGTCCTAGCCTCAGTTTTAGGGCTAGGTTTAGTTTTAGGGTGAGTTTTAGTGTTAGGGTTAAGGTTAGGGCAGGTTTAGTTTTAGGGTTTAGGTTAGGTAAGTTTTGGAGGGAGTTGGTGCAAGCAGCCACCGATTTAGTGTAGAAAATCACCTATTTGGTGCAGCCAGTAATTGTATGCCCTAATAAAGTGGCCAGCCCGCGATGGAGGTGTGTGAGTGCCGACCTGCCATCAGGTCAGTCTGGAATCTATGGCCCCTCCCAACACGACGCTGAAGCATAGCCTTGGAACAGGAGCAAGCGGCCACCTAGTGTGAAATCAATCTGTGCTGCAATTTGGTCACGGTCCAGGAGCCCCAAATCTCCAACTCCCAGTTTTCGGGTAGCGCGATGTATGCTGGCCCCCTGGCCTTGGTTGTGGAAGGCGCTTGGGACACGGAGATGCTTCTATTGGTTCAGAGGACATATACCAGGCATAGCGGATAGAGATACTTGGCAATCGGCAAGCCCTGAAAGGGAATCTTGCGATGGGCATGACCTGCTGCATTGTATAAGAGACTGTAGTCTTCAGGTCTGGCCGTCTGGGACCACGAATTGTGTGGAGGACAGGGTCGCTGTGCGGAAGGTGCATGGGTTCCCTGCTCCCTGGAGCATTGATGAGTGTGGTGTGCACAGGATCAAGGTGGCGCCACAATGGTACCTATCATATTCTAATCAGATTATGAATAGTGCCTAAGATGTTTATCATTGGAATATGAGGTGCATGCAAAACGGTACAATAACAATACATTAGGGCACCGGTGTGGGTGCCATGACATAATTGTTTGCACACCGGTGACCCGCGAGTTGAGTACCCGGCAGAGGCGGAGCATTGAGCGGCCGACCACCACGCACATCAGAGGCCCCCTCACAGCAACGGGGGCCCGAAAGGAGGCTGAAAACTTTTAGTTTTGGAGTTGGGATTTGGACGTGCCAAGCACATGAGGATGAACACCAGGAGCACAGCAACGCGGCCAAATGGAGCAGCCCGCAAGATTCAAGAAAGGAGACCACGCCCAAGGTCAATTGTGGCTTGAACTGGCCAAGGTGAGAGGGAGATTTTTGGTGGGTCAGCGAGTGAAATCTCACCGAATCGACGTGCAGAGTGGCACGCAAAGTTGCGCCAAGGTTGGCGAAGCGGCAGCGATGGGTGCTGGGTGTTGAATTGAATGCCATCCCGGGTCCCCACATTGGGCCCATTTGAATCGGCGGAAGCTCGGCAGGAATTGGCAATGGGAGACATGAGCCGACGCATGGATTGAACGTGTAGTGCCGTGGCTGGACTAAGTGGGCCACGAAGGGTCAAAAAGAAAGCGAGATTGAGCTTGGTTGTGGATGGCGCCAATGGAGAATTGAGGCAGAAGATCGATTTTGGACGCGGATCTTGGTGGCGAACAGCGGCAACGTGTGGCAAAGTTGTAATCAACTGTGCGCAGAGATTGGAGACTGAGGGCCATATCGCAGGAGGCCGACGCCATGGACACGGACCGCAGGGAGAGCATGTGCGGGCTGCGCGCTGCTCGGAGGCAGCGTGTGAGGGGCCCAGAGCGGCTGCAGCACCACACTGGGTCGCATGAGGTTGAGTCAACATCAGTCTAATCAGATTGATTTGGGCACGGAGAGTGTGGCTGCAAACTATAGCAGAGAAAATTCGAAATTTCTGTTGTCACGTGATGGCGAGCGGAATGCTGCAACACATGTTGTCACTGTCGTAGCAGCCAGTGGTATCACATGCGATGTTGCAGCATTGCACAGTAATGCAATTCGCACGGTGACCATAGTGGATGCTACTACACCGCCCAGAACCATATTCTCGCATGTTTCTTGACTTTGGCGGATGAGGGAAACTACAACTAAGAGAAAATCAAGTTGGGAGAGGCATTCAATATCAAGGGAATTGGCCAAAACAATGGCGTCCATGCATTCTGCAATCAAGGGAGTGAAGAAGCAAGCTAAAGAATTGTCCATTGCAAAGTCCCAAGATGTGCAACAAGTCCGGGAGGCAACCCAGCGTTCATTGACTGATTTGCAATCAGTCGTGAATGCTGCCAGCACCCATCAACAAATTTTGGAGTAGAATATAGAGGCGTTAAGGGCAAGTCAACATCAACAAGCTGCATTAGTTTCGAATAAGCAACAAGCGGTCAATCAAACGCGCTTTGAAGCCACTGCAATGAATGTGGCTCAAGGATTGGTGACCAGGACAGACCAGGTTGGAATAGCACAAGCCATGGAGGACCATCTAAGCAGACAACAAAGTGACCTATCTGTGATGGTTAACCGGCTGAAATCTGAGTTGGAAACACTAAAAGCGGATACTCAGGTTAAGAATGCACGGATAGAAGGTCTACAGGCATCATTGAAGGAGAGTCAAACAACCATGGTGGAACTACAAAGTTACGTCAAAGCTGTTGAAGTTGCAGGCTTCTTTGATGACATGCCTATGGACATTGACAACATGGTGCATATATTTGACATTGCAACACCAGCAACTAATAAACTGGGGTTGCCAATTCTGCCTCCAATGAAGGCCAAATATCGCATGGATGTGGCAACACTGCTATTTGTGGACTATACGCAATCTATAATGCCTGCCATTCCAGTATCAAGACCAGAACTACCGTAGCAGCCTTTTGTTTCCCCGATTCCACCAGTTTTTCCAAGACCCATTCTACATCAAGATTGTCCACTACGTGAAGGTTCTTGGTGTGGGGCTCTTGCCCTCTTTGAGCCGTGGACCCGCCTCGCCGGGCACCTAGGTCTTTACGGGGACCTAGGCGGGACCACCCCAACCTATTCCCGTATCGTATAAGTGGGTTTGGGATATATTACCATACCTTGGGCAGGGCGTCCCCCACACCAAGGGGCCGTTAGTAGCATGTCCCCCACATCTGGCCGGTGTGTGTAACATTCGTCCCCCTTAGGGAGGTGGGACA